TATGACAACACACACACACACACACACACACACACACACACACACGCACACACACACACACACACACATTCTAATTGATCCGCAGATACATGCCTGCAGACATGCACACAAGCACGCCAATAACAAAGGGAAAAAAGAACAAACACTATTTTAGAGAAACGGTACAACTGCTAGGAAGCGTAGGAGGAGACTTTCAAATAATTACTTCTCCTCCTCATGCAGACATCCATGGTTTCGCAAGAGCGAAATAAACAATCAACACCTCAACGCCCATGTTTAATTGACCAGCTCTACCCGGAAGAAGGTTCCTATCCTTATCACTCCTTGCACCAGATGATTGAGCCTCAGCGGGGAGTCGGGGACACACATCTGCACACGAGTCGGAGAATCAAAGGTGTGGTGCTGGGGGCGGAGGGGCAATGAAAACCGCCAGCCAACTTGAGCATGCCAGCTCCTGTTGCTGCTAACCCCAATGATCGGCCGCGGGCTCGAACTCTTCCATTGAAATCCGCAGCTATATAATTTTTTTTTGTTTCGGGTGGCGAGCTGTCCAAAAGGAGGATGAGAAATGAAGGAAAAGAAAAGAAGAATTATCTAGCTGTGGAGTTCAACGCAAGAGTTTGGGTCCCAATATCGTTGGGGTGAGCAGCAGCATTTGGCCGAATGCGCCACCATCGCAATTGAGAGAGACTCAGAAGCTGTCATGGTGTCCCAGATCATCATATCAGCATATATAATGTTATAAATAAAATCCTGACGCCTCAGGCACTGAGCTGTTGGCACAAAAAGACACATCAAAATCTGAACACCCCAACCCCAACCCAACACCCTGAAGGGATCTGCGGGGCCCTCCATGTTAAGCGACGAGCAGTATGTACAAGTTTGCTCCAGGGCCCCACAGACTCATACTCTCACAACATGCCATTTCCTTCCACTGGCTGGATGCAACTTCCCCATAGGCACGTGTGCACGAGCATACATACATGCTCTCTCTTTCTCTCTCTCTCTGTCTCTCTCTCTCTCACTCACACACACACACACACACACACACACACACACACACACACACACACCTGTCTCTTATACACATCTAGATGTGTATAAGAGACAGGTGTAACACTTCGTACGTCGTACGGGGCTCTGCT